GTGTGGATCCTGGTGCAGTGTGAGGGTAAAGTGTGTCAGAAGGATAGAGATAACAGTCTGAACTATGACAGAACACGCCCAGGAGACGTTTCAGCCTGACCGTGTGTCTAAAACCTCTGCATCCCACCGTTTCTCTGTCCATCAGGGCATCTCTCTCACCAGTGGCCTTTGGCAGCGGTGCTCCGCCTCTGCTGTGAGACGCTGTAGATCTCCTGGAGCTGTTTCTTCTGTTCGTTGCTGAGTGGAGCCGTCAGACACTGGTACCATGCAGCATCGCCGTTCTGGATCCCTGACAGACACATTAAATACTGTGAAAGTGGCCCATTCTGAAACATTGCTACCCATGATTGTTGTGGTGAAGCACTAATACACACATGAATGTAAGTCACAATGTAGTTTATACACAATAATAATTTATACAACAGTTAGTTCCGACCGAGTGATTTGATTGGTCAACAGACTTTCCAAGAGTGCTGATATTGGACTATAACAGCACTGGGACTGTTTACAAACAGTATCACTCCGCTGTGCACAGGCGTTCTAACCGTTAATCATTAATGTTACTTCTGTTAACTCTTGGATTTGGACAGACTTCACAATGGACATATTTCCTCAGATAACATTCCATGTACAATAAACGGTAACATTCAGATAATCGTAAAGGACACAAAGTAAAGTTACAGTGCTTTGTAGAAAATGTTTGTGTTGTCGTGTGATCATCTGCGGCCTCGTGCCTACGACCGAATCACACCAGTGCTGATATTCGGCAACAACGCACGACCTCGAGTGTGATTTTGCTTAAATAACAAATCCTTATTAGATTTATGTTATGTTTTTCCTAATTTTCATGAGTGTTGACAGTTATATTTAGAAGTAATCTGATTGTTACTTTACTGAATACTTCATTTTCAAAGTAAATTAGACTAAGAAGTTACTTTTTGTAGTTGGATTCAGGAGCTGCTTCCTTTTTTAGTAGAGTGTTTTATTGGAGATAAAACCTAAGTTGACCTCAAAACCCTCTGCTTTTGTTTTTGATGACTCACTGAGCAAGGCAGCGGTAAAGAACTGGTACTCGTCCTCTCCGTTGTCGTAGTCCAGAGGCGTGCTGTATTCCTCCAGAGGCGTGCCTTCAATACAATCTTCATCCCAGTAGTCGTCGTCATCCTCCTCTTCATTGGCTCCCTGGCCTGCTGCCATGTTGGGCTGCTGCTGGAGGAGGCTTTGGCTCTCATTCACCTCATCTTCATCACTGGGAATCTCCTCTGCGTACACAGACAATAAACTGGTAACTAGGGAGCCTATGTCACGCCCACCTACCGCGGGACCATGGACCCCCTACTGCCAAAAATGAATGAGAGTCTACGAGAGGATAAAAGTTATTCTCTGATCCCATGCGCCATGGATTTCACATATGATGTCCGTGAATTTAAAAAAACAAGAAAGCACTTATTTTAGACCGATGGCAAAAGTTATTTGAGGTTTTGTGTGAACATACCCAGAGGACTGCAAACACTTGTAACACCAAATTGACATCATCAAACCAGTCAAAGAGAAGAAGAAAAATGGCTGTGAGATTAACGAGCTCCTCATCCTTCTTCCAGGATGAAAGAAGCATTAAACGAGGAGGAAACCACTATAAATCTGGCCATGTGGTGAGTAGCAGCTACACGGGGGGAGAAGAGATTCAACATCTGACTTGTAGACTTTTATGAATCTTTACAAACTAATAAATCTCAAATGATGAGGCAGGCATATTTAAAACTCACAATTATTTTATATAAATTAAAGGCAAGGGCAAGGCAGCTTTATTTGTACAGCACCTTAAACCCGACAGTATAAAACCGACCTAAGTGCTTCACAGCATTTACAAACATTAAAAACAAAACACAACGTAAAACTGCATAAAAACTAAAGCTTAAAAGCTAACACCAAAAAGACTCACATGCTGAGTTAAAAGCCAAATCATAAAAATAGGTTTTCAAAATAAATTCTAAACCAGACAGTGAAGAGGCCGACCTAATGCTCAACGGCAGAGCATTCCAGAGCCGAGGGGCCGCTACAGAGAAAACCCCGTCTCCTCTGAGTCTGTGTCTTGTTTTTGGGACTTCCGGGAGCATCATCAGCCGAACTCAGAGACCGTGCAGGGGAGTAAAAACCAGTAGCTCAGAGAGGTAATCTGGAGCAAGGCCATGCAAAGATTTAAAAGCACCTTGTACTGGATTCTAAAACAAACAGGCAGCCAGAGTAGTGAGGCCAAGACAGGAGTAACGTGCTCCATCCATGAAGTATGAAGTGTTCACATCTGGGTAGACTTGAATGTTCCCGCGCACAACCGTTTGTATTTTCAGCCGTCTTCACGAGGCTTCGGCTGAACTGGTCCAACACACCCACTGCCGAATTATTGGCGAGCTCAAATTCACACCTACCATTAGAGGGAGCCGATAATTGGTGGGTAGAATCAGCCAGCGGGGGCATCCCACATCACGATTCATTTTCACTCTGGATACTGAGGAGGAAACAAGCCTCTGACTGAAGCGGTCTGTCTGAGGAGCGCACGCGCGCACACACACACTGTTTCTCTCTCTCTCTCTGACTTTCAGCTGCGGGAGGACGGACACAGCAGCCTGGATGCAATATCAGATCCCTTCACACCGTTTGCTCCTTACCTCATGCTATTTTTGTCACGAGTAAAGATCGCCCCCACCTCCCACAGCTTCTCTATGCGTCTTTTGTCCCGCCCACATGCTCGGAGATGTGCTCATGACATCACTGATATATTCACGCCAATTTTGAGACCGCCATGTGGAGACGATGCGAGTGTGGAAGCCCTAATAGGCTCCCCATATCACGATACTTGAACTTATCGTAGGTTTTGTTTGATGTTTTTGAAAGATCACAACAGAACTCCCTGCGGCCGTCTATATTCTCACCATTTTGGTCCTGATCCTGAAGCCCTGCCCGAGCCAGCAGGTCTGGTTTGTTGAGGAGACGGGATTCATAAAGGTGTTTTAGGCCTAGGAAGAGAAGCAGGATGGAGGGGATGATATGGCCAGCGACTCGTTCCAACGCCGCTGGACGGCTAGGCAGCTCCATCAGAAGGCTCAGGCCAATGATGCACATCTTACGGTCATGGAGTCTGGGCAGAGACGAGGAGTTCAAATGGTCCCATTAATGAAACAGGGTCACAGCCGGGATGGAATCACAAACATCAGTATGGTATAATGTACTACAAGTACATCATAAAGCTCTGTTCAGTTGGTTTAATCTGGACACAGTTTACTGGTTTAGTCCAAGTTCAACATTGGAGTCTGCAAATGGTTTAAAAACAGAACTGTTGGATGAAAACATAACGATCAGCCATGATGTTAAACTCAGTGACAGAACAAACAGGAGGATATGGGCAACTCTAAACATCTGAAAGGTTCTGACCAACAAGGACTGAAGAACACAAACTACCAACAGGATCATCGGTGGGTTCCTGCCATCTGACTCGTGTTGTTTATGTTTATTGTGCTCCCAGATCAGATCCATGTATGCTGCCCATTCTAAAAACAACGGCCACAGAGCAGTGGAAGCTTGTGTCCAGGTCCAATAAGCTGGTCTTTGTTACATCACATCACCTCTGTCTGGTAAAGACGTGTCCCTAGGACGCTCTGCTGAGAAAGTCAGGTTCCATCATTCATGAGAACGGTACTTTAGCACACCTACAATTCATGGAAACAGGGAATACTGCCTGCTGCTCCTAACTTCCTCCTTAAATAAACCAGAAAATTCCTCTTCTGTCCTCCGTGTCCCTGAACTACTCACTCCTACACCCAGTCAGGTGTTATTCTTGGCTGTAGCTACATGTCACGTTTACTAAGGACCGTTTGCTCTTACCCCAGGAAGAACTCGGTGTCGTTTATCCACTGGTTGATGAAGTGGGCAGTGATGGGCTGTGGGTTATGTGGGAAGTGCATGTTGTCCAAGGTCTGGATGAGCAGGGCTGGATTGTAGTACAGAGCAGCGATGACTACCTGCAGACACATGGTTCTCAGCTCACTGGTCTTCACGCCCCGGATCAAACGCTCCAGCACTGCCTCCACAAACAGAGGGATGCACTGCAAGCAAAAGATCAAAGTATGAAAGTGTGTTTACCTTCAGCATCCACGAGTTCAACCTCTGATCCACAAAGCTAGTTAAAAAAAAACAGCTGGTGAGCAGAGCTGCTCCTGACCTGGTCGATGCCCCTGCCTCTGCACTGCAGAATGATCACTTCTAAGAGTTTAGCAGCATGACACTCTGCATCCTCCCCTGCATCTACACTCAGCACCTGTACAGAAGTGAGGTCAGGAAGCTGTTTAACAGGAAGACACCGAGGCATGCTGGGAAATATATTTGTATAAATGAACGTGTGTTCAGTCTGACCTTTTTGCACATGTTATAGATGACCTCCAAGTGTTTAGAGTTAGCCAGAAGCATGTCTGTGTCCACAGTGATATAGTTGTGCAAAAGAGGCATCATGTCTGTAACAGATAATCATCAGGATAGTTACCTTCATCCTGTTTCAGAGATGATCTGACCACCCGACAGAAATGAATGAATCCACATTCCTGCACCTATTTGACCTTTTAAAAGCTTTTCTAGCCGGTTTCAGTTTAGGAACTGTTTTCAATAGATTGCTGCTCAGAAAAGGTTTTGTTTCACTCCAATTTCTTCTTATTGCATGTCTAAACTCTGCTTGGAACCTTGCAAAATATGACTTTTGGCCATTTTTAGGTCATCTTAAACTTTTGCATCGTTATTTTTATACTGGTTCTGGCAGATTGATGTTTACAGCTAAGATCTTCCAGCCATGAGAGGATCTAGAGTTGTGATGTCTCCTCCTCCTCTGGGCTTGTCCAGCCCTGGGAGAGTATGTCCTCTCATTTCCCAGACAGAAATGGGACTTTATTCGGCGTGATGGACAACGTCCACATGTCCTCGTTGCTGCTCCTCTGATCTATCTCCTCGGATGGGTAGCAGAACTTTCTTTTAAAGTACTTTTCTGTTGTTTTCACAGCTGAAACTGATCATTTGAGAAAAATCTAAAAATTAATGTATTATCACTAACGTTTTGAGTCCCAAACAGGAACAGGTAAAGGTACCTGTGAAGTAGTCAAAGCAATCTTGCTGGAAGACCTCATATAGGACACCCAGAAGCTGCCACATCTGAGGGGAGATGGTCTGGCAGGTGAGGCCAAACGCCAGAGAGAGAATCTCCTCGTAGAACTCTGCAGCCAAAGGAAACACAAAGATTCACCACTAATGTAGCAGGAAGTGACTTGGGGAAAGAAGGAAAGTGGAACCCTGAACTTAAGAGTCAGTCACTTGTCGACTAGCTGCACCCTGTGGTGGGACGGTGGAGACCCGCCAGTATTAAGCACTGGGATTAGTTTAGACCAGTTAGGGACAAAAACCCGATCCCAACCCTACTGAATCATTTCTGAACTAAAAATACTCAAACATCTCTTAAATGAAACTAAAATTTCCTAGAAAACAAAATTATTCAAAACTTATTTATTCTGTGATTTGTGTGTTTATACTTTAATTAATTACAGTTGGATTTTGTTCAATTTGTGACTCACATCCTTTTCAAACATGAAAAGAATGTTTTTATATATAATTTAGGTTAAAAGCACCCAGTATCTCATGTTGGGTTATAATCTGCTCTTTAACCCCAGACTCTGGAACTCCCCCCCACCCCGAGCCTGAGATCAGTGGACTCGGTGGTCTCCTTTAAAAAGCAGCTGAAAACTCACCTGTTCAGGCTGGCTTTGTGTGACCTCCGTCACCACTCTCTCCTTCTTCCACCTTTCCCGGGATCCAGTGATGTCCCTCTTGCCTATTCAGTCTCACTTTCCCCAATTTTTTTCCTCCTTTTATGACAATTTTAACCATTTAAAAAAAATCCTTTAATTTTTCAAGTATTTTCTTCTTGTGAAGCAGCTCATGATTTTAATCTTGAGAGGCACGACATAAAAGATTGTTTTCTTTCTTTCTAATCCTCAGCCTGACTTCAGGCATCAAGTCGAAGACTCAGATTTTGCAGGAAACATTAATTAATGCAAAGTTTTTTTTACTTACGAGTAACTGTGCAAGACAAAGTGAAACCAACAGGGAATTGGGAAAAGACGTGTCTGCTCTTTAACACAACGTAAACACACTACGCCCACAGAGAACACACACCTGCCATACCTATGATGGGCTTCTGCAACACCAGGCCAATCACCTGTAAACAAATTCCTTCCAGCTGCTGAGTGATCTAAGAGAAGAGAAGTAAGATTTTAGCATCGATGACACGTTCAGATCGAACCATCACTGCTCCTGGAGATGTGACGTCAGTCCGAGTCAGACAAGAAGATAACAAAGTTAACATTTGGTTTAGTTTTATGAATTAAAGATAAAAGGCATTTTCCAACAGTCATAATGAGACCAAAAGACAAAGCACTTCAATGAAGATCCTCTAGGAGAAGGTATCTCGTCTTTATTTGTCATTAGCAGGTATTGTAGAAGCAGTGTGTGTGTGTGTGTGTGTGTGTGTGTGTGTGTGTGTGTGTTTAAGACACCTCCTTGTGGTCCTCCATGACAGTAAGGATGGTGTCTATGGTGCTGAGGATACCAAGAGCCATGACCGTCTTATCCTCGTTCTCCTCATACTCGTCACTTTGAAGGACTCTAGTGAAAATCCCTGCCTGCACAAAAACATGTTTTCATCCTTCAACAGAACTCAAGCTATTATTTCTTTGGACACCAAACATGGACACTCTTCTTCAAACTGTGACCTCCAGCTCTTAGAGGGCAGGTGTGCAGCTGAGATGAAGCTGCTTGTCGCATGTTCCAGAGCAAAGGACTTTCCTCAAGAGGAGGAATTTTAGGATCTCAGGGTCTTGTTCAGAAGTGAGGGAAGGACAAAGAGCAGTAGGTGGATCCAGCAGGATGCTGAACTAGTCTGTAGCTGTTCTCAATTATTTCACAAACTCTCTTGAGTGATCCTCAGCTTCTGGAGCCATCTGGCCTTCACCCTCAACCCTCCTAATACTTCAAAGGTGAACCTGCCTTTTTATTTTAGAGTGACTTTCCCATCTGCCCGAGGACAGCAGATGAAAAATAGTTGTGTTACATCTGATGTTCATTAATGTGCGTGTCCTTGTGAATAAACCAATAAACTAAGGTTTACTTCAATATCTCCATCTCTTTAACATTCTCTCTCCCCTCTGGGAGGTCAAATCACCAGAAAATAGCCATCCTGACATCAGCCCTATAATCCACCTTGTCCTTATAATCCCCATCAGAGGTATACCACATGGTGAATGTGTTGTGATCCCCATTTAAACATTACCAGGTTCTGTGTCATGTCCACAGCAATGGCCGCCATCTCCTGGTTGTACTCGCAAATCATCTTCTGGATGACGTTGATCAGGTCGTCGTTCTCCGTCTCTTTGATCACATGAAGCAACTCTTGCATCACCTGGCGGATGTAAGGCTGGATATACAGCTTGGCTGCACGCCCACACACACGTGCACGTACACACAAAGAAGAACACACAGTCACATGAGCCGTCTCAGGACTGATCTGAGGGTTGATCAACTAGCCACAAGACATAAACAAACATTTGTTATGTTCAATAGCAACCCCCGAGGTGCTGAAAATAAATGTACATGTGAGCTGACAATAGTTGACCAAATGCAAGTGATAAAAGCTTCAGATGGCAGAGGAACAGACTGGAATACAGACCATAATATTTACGAACTAAAGTAGTAAATCTGCTCTGGTCCTGAGGTTCTGTTTGTAACATGAAAGCAACAGAGTTCCTCCACAAACCTTGCTCCTGGTTGCTGATCATCGCCTGCAGAGCAATGGCAGCTTCTACCTTAACGGGCATCTCTTTGTCTTCTACCAGGTCTCGTCTGACCAGCTCCAAAGCGTTCCTGAGCACCAGCTCATCGTGGAAACGCAGCGGGCTGAAGCAGTGCAGAACCCAGCATGACTGCAAGGGAAAAGCAGAGCAGAAAGGGTATGTAGTCCACCAGGACCAGGTTTATATAGTCCACCAGGACCAGGTTTATATAGTCCACCAGGACCAGGTTTATATAGTCCACCAGGACCAGGTTTATATAGTCCACCAGGACCAGGTTTATATAGTCCACCAGGACCAGGTTTATATAGTCCACCAGGACCAGGTTTATATAGTCCACCAGGACCAGGTTTATATAGTCCACCAGGACCAGGTTTATATAGTCCACCAGGACCAGGTTTATATAGTCCACCAGGACCAGGTTTATATAGTCCACCAGGACCAGGTTTATATAGTCCACCAGGACCAGGTTTATATAGTCCACCAGGACCAGGTTTATATAGTCCACCAGGACCAGGTTTATATAGTCCACCAGGACCAGGTTTATATAGTCCACCAGGACCAGGTTTATATAGTCCACCAGGACCAGGTTTATATAGTCCACCAGTACCAGGTTTATATAGTCCACCAGGACCAGGTTTATATAGTCCACCAGGACCAGGTTTATATAGTCCACCAGGACCAGGTTTATGTAGTCCACCAGGACCAGGTTTATATAGTCCACCAGGACCAGGTTTATGTAGTCCACCAGGACCAGGTTTATATAGTCCACCAGGACCAGGTTTATATAGTCCACCAGGACCAGGTTTATATAGTCCACCAGGACCAGGTTTATATAGTCCACCAGGACCAGGTTTATATAGTCCACCAGGACCAGGTTTATATAGTCCACCAGGACCAGGTTTATATAGTCCACCAGGACCAGGTTTATATAGTCCACCAGGACCAGGTTTATATAGTCCACCAGGACCAGGTTTATATAGTCCACCAGGACCAGGTTTATATAGTCCACCAGGACCAGGTTTATATAGTCCACCAGGACCAGGGTGGGACAAGTGTGACCTGGACCTGCTTCAGGCTGAAGCTGTGTTCAGTCAGGACAAATCACTACAGACAAGCAACAACTTACAACCAATCAGAACAAAAACACCTGATTGGCTAATAAAACATTGGTGTACCTGATAATTTAAGACATTACATGAATAATAAATACAAGTGTGTCTGTTATAAACGAAGGTAAATATCACTCATCTGACATGCTTAGAAACAGGCAAATGAACTGAACATATCAGGAATCAGAGCAAAGTTTTAGAATATATAAATATTAAAATGTGTGTTTTAGTATTTGTACAGAAATTTTACTGTATTTTCATTTTCTGATCATTGTTATAAAAATGCAATCTGACTAAAAGTAACTTTTACTGTACAAAAATGAGCTTGTGAGGGAAGGACTAACTCACCCTGGCTCGCAGGTAACCCATGGGAGAGTTAAGCAACGGGAAGACGTAGTTTTGCAGCATCAGCTCCATCTGCTCCCTGTACATTTGTTTCTGTAGGACAGAACACACACGCGTGCACACACACGGTTCATCAAATAGCTACTAAAACACATGGTAGGCACCACTGCATCTCCTCCACATACCTTCATTAGAAGCTCAGCTAGGCCTCCAATACAATGCAACGCTCCATCCTTCCTGCGAGGATCTGCAGAGGGGTCCATCAGGATCTGGAGGCAGAACTCCATCATCTGAGGAAGAACCTGACAAGAAGAACATTTCTGGTTTATATAAACGTAGAAATGGCTGAAGTAGAAGTCAAACTTAACCTTAAACACTTCTGGATTCATCTGGTCACGCTCTCTAGCCCTTAAACAGTCTGCGCAAACCTTCACACGAGTCCTGGTAGCTTATTGAAGTTTGCTCTGATACTTATCACAAAGCCTCATTTAAAAGGTTTGAGCAGAAGGCTCGGGTCCTGACCTCTTTCCTCTTGTGGGCCGTTTTACACAGGAGGCCCTGGGCAGCCGTTGCTGGGAGGGCGTAGTCATCGTAGAGGTCTGCAACACGAACAAACACACTCAGGCTCAAAAAAACATTAAACTAAATGTCAAAATGTGCTGGCGCCACCCTTCCTCTATTACTATGGTCAGTTTTAAAGTTCAGGTTCACAAAAACTTCATTAGATTTTTTGACCATTGTAAGGACAGACACTGAGGAAGGTTGAGTACTTACTGAACTTCATTCGGATGTATTCGTACGGGTCTTCCTGCCAAACTCTCTCATCCTCGTCTTTGTAACACATCAGAGGGAAGATGACCTCTTGGCAAATAGTCTGAAGAGAGCAGAAGCTTCAGTGAACCCAGAAAAACCTCTGAGTCTAAACATGTCAGGAATCAGCAACATGAACCAAGTGATTTCCACTTTCAGCCTGACTCTGAATCCAGTCTTCCACAAAACGAGCAATTAGCATCTTTAACCTGGATGGTCAGCGGGGACGGAGCCATCATCTCAGAAGTCAGGGGGAGATTAGTCAGTTATTTATCATCCTCTCAAATTCAGACACGCCTTTTCCACGCGGTTCAAAAACCATTTAATCACTGATTAGTTATTAGCAATATTAACGATGCTTCAAAGACAGTTATTAATTATCAATATTACTATTTTAGTTTCAGGGCTCCACCTGCTCAACCGGAACAAAAAGGAACGTTTGAATGGTAGCCGACAGCTGGCCTTCTGTCTCCCAGACTCAAGTCTTGTTTCTCAGAAACGTTTTATGTCTCCTCACCTGTGAAGACCCTCATTGTCCCTGCTGCTGTCCTCTCTGTTACATCGCCTCCCTGACTTTGCTCTGTCTATTGTAACAAAATGCGTTGTTCTTTTAAACATGTAGAAAGCCACAGTGAGCACAATTTCTGCTAAAAGAGAATTGGGTTCATTGCTAGCATGAACTAACTAGCAATTTAAACTAGCAGTTTAAACTAGTCTGCATGAATTAACTAGGAATCCTTTAGCTAACATCATCTCTGTGCAGCAGCATGACTCAACTACACAGTACAAAGCTGCACTCTCTTACCAGCAGCACACGTCTGAGATCCACTGGATGTGTACGCTAGAGGTGTGTTTAAAGACGGCTCGGAAAAATACATTTCCCCATATTAACGGATTAAAAAGCCTGAAAAAAGAGCGGGGAACATGTCCCACACGTAACCTGTGTCTGTTACTACCATGATGCTCAGTATTCTCTGACTGAGCGGAGTTCAATCTGGACAAACACAGATGTAGAGGTGTCTTCGAGGAGAACCACAGCTCCTCCACATCGAGGGAAGTCAGCAGAGGTGGTGCTGACATGTGATCAGTGACAACTGCCCCCATGACCTGAACCCAGATGAGCAGAAGATGAGGGGCATCTTTTTTCTTTTTGATGAAACGTGGCTTCTATTTAATTTTTTTTAGACTCCGCTATCGACCCAATGCTCTTCTTCGGTACCTTGGAGTAAACAGAGAAGATGTGGGCTCCCTCTACAGGTGGAACCCACCTCTGCTTCCCTTTCGTAAAAATGGGGGTCAGCACTCTGCCGCTCCACAGAAACTGCCCTCGATGTCAGTGCAAAGTTGCAGAGGCGTGTTGGACACACAATCCTAGGGGACAGATCCCGTCAACCACTGGAGCTCTTCCACCAAACAGATGGTTGACTACCACAGTGTCTTCTACCCCAGAGATCAGCTGATCCATCCCCAGGTTTTCCAGCTCTTGTTCTTCATTGGAACTTGTGTTTGTGGGGTTGTGGAGCTTTTCAAAGAATCTTCCATCTCCCAACTATATCCTCACTTTACATCAGCAGTGTGAATGAACTGCTTTGATGCAAAAGTCAACAAGGGTAGCTAATTTAAATAAAATGTCTCAGACATATTCACACAACAAATAAGCCGATGCATTTGAAAACTGAAGCCAAAAACTCCCAGCAGACATCAGATGTTTCAGTCTACCTGCATGTGTGGTTTCATCTGTTTCCAGGTCAGTGAGTGTGACACACCCTGGTTGAGATAATTGAGGCACTGCTGCAAGACACGAGGAGTAACGTACTGCCTCTGCCGGTGCTGGTCCACCACCTTCAGCAGAACCTTGACAAACAACACACAAAGCCAGAAGCTGAACGAAAAACCATAGAATTCTGAGGAACCATGTTAAATTAAACCATAGAGCACATTTAGGACGACTGCTACTGATTAATTCAGCATTTTAAAAAACAGACAGAGAAGTTCAACAAACTCTGATTTCCCTGTAAACTCAGAGATTTAACCTAATGCAATCAGAAAAACTCCCAAGTTATTTGTTCCAGGACAGCAGTAGAGCTCTCATTCACCATGGCAACCATGAGATAATATTGCTGGACAACGTTGTCTGCTTTGAAATTAAGGAATATGGTCTCATATGCAAAAAAAATAAATAAAGATCAGCAACGAGGAGAGACCTGAGTCAAAGTCTGAATTTAACATTCAAAATAAAATAACTATTGTCTAATTAAAGCAGTAGAGTGACACTAGCTTACCTGCTGTATTCCTACCGCATAAGTCTTCAGAAAAAAGTCTGCAAACTGGCAATATTCCTTTGTCACGTTCCCAGGGCTTCCATACCTGTGATAAGAAGCGATCCATGAGACAAACTGGAACCGTCCCTGTTTCTAGTGCTGCTTGTCGATAGGAGACCAGCTCCTGGACTCACCGCTCAAACAGTCTGGTGATGATGTGCAGCGCCCACTTCTTACACTTCCACCAGGCCAGCTCAGGACGGTCGTCCTCATCAACCTCCAACGTCTCCTTATGGATGCAGGTGAGATCACAGCCGATTGGTTACAGGCTCAGGATGATCATCATTATATGAGTGACCTCATAAATATGTTACAAATCGACCTTGGTTTACAAATCAAGGTGGTTTACGGATGGTTTGTTCCACTATGGAGTCGTTACGAGAACCTACATGTTTGCTTTTGCGCTGCCAGGTGATCCCTGTAATTATAAAACATGACTCCTGTCACTTATGAACATCACGTTTACAATCAGCTGGTGGGAAAGATCAAAATAGAGCCACACATCTCTATTTACCATCTCACACTCTTTTGAAAAGGACACAAAAATACAAACAGGAACACTTTTTTTGGTTGCAAAAATGTGAAAGTTCAGTTTTTTAGCACAGCTGTTTGCCGCTCCCATTTATGCAGTTTAATCTTCCAACCTGAAAGGGGCGGGGCTAATTTACAGAACACAATTCAGGCATTACTAAAACAAAAAGCTAAAAGGACTTATTTTAATTTAAACTTCCCACTGTGGAGGATAAGGCTCTCAGAGGTGTTTGAACTCAGAATAACTTTATTTTGTGCTTTGTCCCAGTCCATTATATGACTTTACCTTGTGCAGTGGTCTGTTACGGCTGAGAAAGAAACAAATCGAAGACACACAAGAGCCGCGAAACAAGAAGCAGAAAGGGAAACCACATAATGGACTGGGACGGAACAAGGATCATAAACACCGAACAACAAAAACATAAAAGATGGATTAAGGAAGCCATAGAAATAAGGAGACGTGGACACAACCATGAACAGAGACGATGGGGTCTACAGATTGAATCACGCATGGGACAGTGTCATTGGCGAGGAGAGAGCAGGCAGCAGAGGGTGACACCATCTTCTGCTGTGCGCCGATAAACCGAGAAGGAAGTGATGCCGCCAACAGTGGTGAAGGTCTGAGGAACGTCAGTGAAACAAGGTAAAAGGAACTCTTTTGCTGTGTTAAAAAATGAACTAAGCAATGCAATTTAGTTCAGGTTTGATAAAAATATAGCTTCAGAAACTGTTTTTCCAATTTTATTTTGATCATTTCTGTAAATAATCACAAGACCCCTGTTTAGATCATGGTGGCCCACAGTGGGGTCCTGACCCTAGGTTTGGGTTAAACCCAACAGCTGAAGCTCGGTGGGGAGATATCCAACTAATCTCTAGTAGCTACCCAAGGCTGGGTATGTGCAAAACAACCTTTTAATTAAAACTGATCCTCGTGACCCTGTTGAACTCATGAATGGAGAGCAGCTGACATAACACACACATCAACTCGTTGTTTTCAGAGATTCAAGCTGAAAACCAAAAAAATAAACTACATAACATAAAATGTAGTGAAATAATTTAGAGATGTGTCTTACAGCAGGGACGTCTCTGTCCATTATGGATCGCAGTATTTCCATCCACTGCGTCATCACGGTGTTGTTGATGAGCTGGAGCGGCAGCGAGTACTGCAGGACAGCATCAGGGTTACGGTTCACATTTTCATCATCACAAATCTTCCTTTTTCCATCTTATTGGTTCACACACTTTCAAAGATAATCTTCTCTATGTTTAATAATTCTAATTAAAAATGGCTGCCACAGGTCATGATTTTGTGTTTGCACATAATGTTACTTTCAGTATTTAACCAAACTAGCCATCATTTCTCATCCATAGCATGAAATTCACACATTTCAGACGGCTTTAGGGCCGCCTCCTAAAATGATTAAAACACTTTTATTTCTATGACAAAATTACACAAACATTATAAAATATTCCAGCATGTTTTGGTTTTCACACTTACCACAGGAAATCTAAGTGAAAATATGGAATATTGATCACCTGACTAGCAGACATGAGTGTGTGTGTGCGTGCTGAGTGTTAAACAAAATGATCTGCTGAGTTAAAACTCTGGACTTAATCTCAGAGCATATTTCAGTTATTAGTGCAAAATTTATAAATCCACATCAACATATTTAACTGACCATGCAGTTCTACTTATTTTATTACTGATCTGGTCTTTAACTTTGGTTGACACACAAACGTGTGCTCACACACACACACCTGTACAAGAGCATGGAAGATTTTGAGGATCTGTTTCTGGATGAGGACAGAGAAGATGGTAGCATCAGTCAGCAGCTGGCTGATGATCTGTTGAATTCTTGGCAAAAAAATCTGCATGGCTGCCAGCAAAGGCTCCCGCTCATCTGCTTTCCTGTATCTGAGGCACACAGAAGCAACTTTTAAACAGAAATGCAACATAATAGGCTATATGCCACGTCCCCCAGTTTGGCACTTCCTGACATTGGCCGTGTTCGAGATGAGCCAGTTATGCGCAGATTAGATCACCGGTGATCCGAGCAGTGCATGCCGGTTATATTTGTGTCAGACTTGACGCTGACTTGCTCTGACGTCATGCATAGGTAGGCAACAATATCCTCATGAAATCAAGGCAGCCGCAGATTTTGGAGCAAAGCGCAGCAGTTGCTCTCCACCGGCTGCAAAACCTGGGGGATGACGGGAAACACCTGGCTCTCACCTGATCTAAGACCTGATTGGTTCACATTCTGATCCAAACATCCGGTGGTTGAATGCAAAATGTTAGTTGGTCACATGTGTTCTGTAAATCATGTAACTTTGATGACAACTATATAGGCCATAAAGAGAAATGTGTTTTGTATTCTTTTGTCACGTTTCCTATGAGCACACTAAAACTACAGCTGATAACCTTTACTTATTATTACAGTCATGTCTCCATGTACAATATATGATATCCACAAGCACGTGAGGATGTGTTTCGGTTGCTAACAGGCACCAGAATTAAAATAAATAATTAAACAAGTATGAACTCTAACGCGATATCTTCATCCATCATCACCCCCGAGCTACACATGTAGGGAAATCTGTCCGACTTAAATGCCGGCTTTCAGCCACTCCCCCTGCTGCGTCTGTCTGCTCTCGTCTGTTTTCCAGGCGAGGCGCTGCTCAACTCGAACACGGCCATTTTTAGCCAGCTGAATCATTTCCAGGTCACAGTATCGTTAGTTTGCTCCATGGCATTTGTGCGCTATAGCTGCAGGACCTGCTGAGGATAACGATCAACAACGTACACGGGATAATCTAGGCCACATCCAAGACACCACAACCATATAAAGACAAAGATTTTAAATTGTATGTGTTTGAAGGTAAGTTTTAAAGCCTTGGTTTGCTAAATGATACATGCTAGCTCTTTACTAGCATAGCGAGGAAGCTACGCCAACAACATTAGCAGAGAATTTGCATTTCAGAAGCAATAAAGACTCCTGATAATAACCTCTCTCTCTCTGATAACAGTGTTAACGTCGATTCAACACTGTGCTAACTTTGGCTAGTAAGGAGCTAGCATGTGTCATCATTTAGGAACCCAACGCATAATTAATGCAGGGTGACACATTCCATTTTAAACCTTTATTTTTATTTAATGTTAAATTTACAACCTGGACTATGCTTAAATTGTCCCTACGCACACCACATGATGTCAAATATAGAAGTTTGGTGCTTTGAGTTACATCTCTACTCGTGTCCCTGATAAACAATCCTTAGCTCTGATGGAAGTGTTACAACTTCTCTACTCACTCGTATGTTTTGGCCAGTTGATAGAGAGCCAGCAGACTTCCATACCAGCTCCCACTGCTCTGAGACTGTAAATACATGTTGATCTTGTCTATGATGGCGGTCCAGCGGCCTGGGAAGTCATGCTTGATGATGGCTCTCAGACACACGGTCAGCTGGGCACTAAGGGCATGGAAATAAAACACATGCACATCATTCAGGATCTCAATGTCTCACACTACTGACTATATATTTTCTATGGAAGCTACCATCTTCTATGATAATAACTGTTTTTGTTAACTTTTAACAAGAAAGATTATTTTATTTTAATCTGGAAGCCAACTGCAACTAGAACATCATTGCTGAACTCAAATCCATCATGGCTGCGTCCACACATCAAAGGTGGTGAGCATGATTTTTTATAGTCATGAACCAGGAAATAGTGCACTACATGATGAACAAGTGAATGTTGCAATAATATCAAAGAAAGAAATTTGTGAAATGAATTGAGATATTAACTGGTGCTGGTAAAAAAAAACTGTGTGTGTGTGTGTGTGTGTGTGTGTGTACCGTATGGATTCTGGACACCGGATGATAGCTTCCACTATGTGATCTCTGATCTGCTGCCGGTCATTCTCATGAATGTTAAAAGGAAAGATGACCTCGCCCACCGACGGCTCCCTGTCCTGCCAGTACTGACTCACCATGTTCTTCAGGTAGATGGCCGCTACACACACACGCATGCACGCACGCACGCACACACACACACACACAGTCATTAACATTATTGGTCCTCAAATAAAAACTCTTGCCAGTGGTCGCTAGTAGGAATGAACGCCTTGTGAATTTTTTTTTGGGGGGGGGGGCATTTCTAGGACCTAAAAGTGACCCACATCACAGCTGAGTTTCAGACGGCAGGTTCTGGGGTCTTATTTCCTGATATTGGACATCTCGTCTCTGATTGGATAACAGCAACATGGATGTTTTATCTCCACAAATAACACAATCCTGGAACAGCTTCTACTGTGTGGTTGTGTTGCTAATGCTAATGGTTAGCTTCTGCTAGTCAAAGCGTCTGCTGTTGTTTCCCAGATGTTAAACCAACAACAGCCTTCTCCATTGTGATTCAAGATTGGAGAGACCATGAATGTTAAGTGACGTAGCTCTGACAGGCTTTTCAAATTCTAGCGTTTTACCATCTACTTTCTATCAGAAACTAAAGCAGTAGATAGATGTAGGACAGTGGCTCCCAACCTTTTTTCAACAGGACCCCCTTTCCTGTTTTCAAGACAAGCCAGCGCCCCCCAACCCCAACTCATATGTGCATGCACACGATTAAAAGTTAATAATTACAAACTTTATACCAACATACAGAGTTGTGGCTCTTACAGAGTTTTGATTTTACTATTGGTTGTATTATTGGGATTTTATCAATGTATTTTTTCAAATATAATCTTGGTAACATCACAACATCAACATAGACATAATTATGGGGACCCCCTGCAATCTTGTAGAGACCCCCTTGGGGGGTTGTGGACCCCAGTTAACCACACCTTTAATTCAATTTATTTGATCAAATAATCAGAAAAATGTCACTAGAATAAAATTTAGCTAATGACCCACAAAATATTACTCACGTGACAGAAAGGCCAAATAATGATCGAAAATAGTGTGAAGATGTAGCTATTTTGATTCAAAAGTAAACTTTAAAAAAGTAGGGCAGAATAAAAATGAAGCTGTCACCTTTTAATCCCAAAACAAAAGTAAATAAAACACAAGGTTTCTCTACAAATACTCAACCATCCAATCACAAGATGAGCACACATGTGAGGAAGTTTAACATGTTCTATCTAAAGTAGGGGTGGGTTGATATGTCAGGTCGATATTGATATTTTTTATTTATCACATAAGCCAATATTCTTATTTAATAGAGCCGATTTAAAATCAGGCACATCTGCGGACAGCCAGCTGCAGAATTTTATTAAATGTATATTTATTTATGTTCCCGAAAAACATCTACAGTTCCTGACAAAAGTCTTGTCGCTTGTGTATGTTGTAGAAACTTCTGTTATTAACCTGACATTTAATTGATCAATTGGTGTTAGAAATAGCTCATATGAAAAGCTGAAGCCCTCCAAAATAATGTTAAATGTACTGAAAAAAAAATTATAGTTTCACTGGAAAAAGTTTTGAATTTTTATGCTCACGATTGCCCCCTTAAGCCAAAAGCGTAACAGCAGCTTCAATAGTAGGCTCGTGCACGAGGTGCGCATGCTGTACGTGCACACTCCTTAGCGAAAAGAACAGCTGAGACAGTCCCTTGTGTGTGTGTGTGTGTGGGGGGGGGGGGGGGGGGGGGGGGGGGGCGCGGAGGACAGAGGACAGGAGAACGCACAGCTAATTAATTAAATAATTTGGTTCTGTACCTTTCTCTTCAGCACAGCCGACAAAGGTTTAAGATGGGTCAGTCCTCCTGCATGCTCAGATCATTCCCTTCCCTTGCTTGAAAAATTGTTCCAAAATGAAAGTTGAACCGACATCTTTTTTTATCTGTGAATTCAATGCCGTTCGGCGAGTCTTAAATAAAAATTTGGGCATCTTACTGTAAACAAATTAATGTTACCATTAATGTAAAAAAGAAACTCTAAATAAACTATGTTCACATCCAGAATCGAACCCGGGTCTTCTGCACAAAAGCCCAAAATCTTACTGGGGGAGCTAAATCGCCACTGGCATCTTCTGTATCTGTAACTTTTATATCCTTGATGACAGCTGAAACAACGTTCAAAGAACGGTTCGGAGGGCTATGCCTGAGCGTGAACGCGCATGAAGCAGCCTGCTCGACCCGAGCAGCTCTCTTTTTCTGTGATTTTACAGAAAAATAGGCAATCACAGTAAAAATGCCAGGGCTCATTCTACAGGACCAGGGCATTGCAGGAGAATGTATGAAGAAGAAATTTATTATTTCTATACATGTTTTGGCTGTCAAACTTCCACAATGCCCCTTTAATCAAGACAGAAAGGTCAAAATCTGGCAAGACAAAAGTGTTGCCACCTATACAGAAAATGATCAACTTTACAGCAAATCCAAAAATATATCAGCAAATTAAGTAGTGGTGCTGTGAGATCCAAATTTTATGTCTTGTATGACTTCCATGAGCTTGAAAGACAGCATCCATGCAGTTTGGCAATGATTCGTACAATTTATTGATGAAGTCATCAGGAATAGCAAAGAAAACAGTCTTGCAAGCCTCCCGGAGTTCATCCATTCTTCCTCTTTCATCCTACCCCACGTATGCTCAATGATGCTCATGTCTGGTGACTGGGCTGGCCAATCCTGGAGCATCTTGATCTTCTTCGTCTTAAGGAACTTTGATGTGGAGATGGAAGTATGTGATGGAGCACCATCCTGCTGCAGAATTTGGCCATTTTTATGGTTGGGAATATAAGTGGTAGCTAGGATTTCTTGGTATTTTAGACTATTGATGTTGCCTTCCACTCTGCAGATCCCTCGCACACCCCCATACTGGATGTAACCCCAGACCATGATTTTGCCTCCACCAAACTCCACTATTTTCTGGGTAAATATCGGCTCCAAGCGGGTTCCAGTAGGTCTCCTGCAATATTTGCAGTGACTATGGTGTAATTTAACAGAAGATTCACCTGAAAAATCCACTTTCTGCCTCTTTTCCAGCGTCCATCCTTTTAGCAGGCTTTGGGATTTGGCAAATGCCACATGGTTTTTCAATTGTCTTTTGTTTAGTGCTGGCTTATGGGCACTGATTCGATACTATTTAGGTTAGCTTTTATCTAATTATTTACCGGGTACTATAGTTTTATTTCTTGTTTTACATGATTATATTTTATTACTGGCTTTGCATGTTTTATATGATTATATTTTAGCACAGTTTCATTATTTAATAATATTATAATTTTACTGTCCATATGAATTTATTTATTATCTATTTTCTTACTTTTGTCATTTATATTAGCTCTCAGCCGAATATAAATTTTTACTGATGTGTGTGTGTGTGTGTGTGTGTGTGTGTGTGCATATGTCTGTTAATGTTTTTAAACTGTTATGAGAATTTGGGGTCATTTTAATTCTGTAAAGCAATTTGAGTAGCAATTTGCTTGAAAAGCGCTTTATGAATAAAATCTGATTGACTAAATTATTGATTGATTCTTGAAACTAAATCCGCATTGGAATTATTTTTAGTGGCACTTCTATTTGTACTAAAGCGACAAGACTATTGTCAGGAACTGTACTTAATCAATGCTTGGAAACAATATTGTCAGCTGACATTTCTTTTTATTTACCTGTTTTATATTTAATATTTGATAGTTTGTTGATTTATCTAATTAACTTTGGTTACATGTTTGATTTTAATACTGAACAATATTAGGATTCAAGAGTCTGTTAAATTCAGTGTTCAAAACTGATTCAGGTTCAGAAATGTTGGCATCAATTGTTGTTATTAGAAATATTTTAACATGTAAATAAGGTGAAAACGTAAGTGAAAATCAGACCAAAATAAATGGCCAGCACACATCGACCATCAGCTGACCATGTTGCTAGTAGAAAAACCTCTAATCTAAAGCCCGACTAATTACTTATCAATGGTATCAAATGAAATATTGGCAATCTTACCTGCTTGGCGTACAGGAAACTCCACCTGCTCGGACACAATGATGTGAAGCAGGGTGGGAGCAAAGTTGATGATCTTGTAAGACTAAAACACAGAGACAAAAGATTTTTTGAATGTTTTTGGGTAAAAGGTTTATATTTTTAACATTAGTGTCTTTGGAGGCTTCATAATGTAGAAAGAGAATGACGTCTTTAGTGTCTCTTTTATATTCATCTATGCCAAGATGCTACAGTTGGTTGGAAAAGAACGGGATATGAGATAACCAAGCTAACATCATCAAGTAGGGCTGCACAGACTAACTGGCTGGGTTTTAGCATGAGTGTTAAAATTCAAGCTCTTTTCAATCAGAGAGCACCACTAACAGCAACCGGATCATCACTCCTCATCTTTCACGTTAATAATCGTCTTTTAATCATTCAGAATAGCTACTAAATAAAACTGATTGTGATATTACAGTGATGATTGGCTGTGATAAAACTACATTTTCCTCCCTTCTTTTTGGGTTCTGTCATCACCAAAATATGACTCTGCACCTTCAGTGGCTTAGTGCTTTAGCACCAATTTAAATCAGGAATGGCAACAAGGACAGGGAGGGTCCATCATGTCCACATTCTGGTCAGGTCCCTTGGAATTTCAGTCTATGGTTTACTGTAAATTCAAGCGCTTCTTCGTAATATTAATACTGCACAAACCGAGGATAGTTTAGCGACAAACGCCTACTGAACCACGTCATCTAAAGACAGCAAAGATGAGACCATTCCTCCCCATGGATGCACCTTGATTTCTGTCCACAAAGAAACAAACTGGATCAGAGACCAGCGGCAGCAATGGAGAGGTCCAACCTGCTCAGGGAATAATCTTGATTCATTGCTGAGAATAAGGACCCAGTTCTTGTTCATGTGTTATCTGGATGTGGAGATGGCTTATCACATCCCTGTAGAAACAACACAAGAGTCTCATGACTTTAGAAACTGAGGTGAAGATCTGGTCCACTGTTCAATGAACCGAAGAAAAGCCACGCTCCAGAAACTGAGTTTTGAAACCAACACAGCTTGGGAATAGATGAGCCCAGCACAAAGGCATCTTTTAACAGCTAGATGGCTTCCATCACTACTGGTGCCCACCATCACGACCTATGGCTGGTGCAGTGACAGACAACAATCCTGGCCACAACTCCTAGGACTCAACAGCAGATCAAATATTAATTGTCTCTTTTAGTAAGACAAACAATGTTTTTAAAGAGTCACTGGTTTTTTACTCCCCTGCACGGTCTCCGAGGTCGGCTGATGAGATGCTCCTGGAAGTCTCAAAAACAAGACATAAGCTCAGAGGTGGCAGGGCTTTCTCTGTAGCAGCCCCTCAGCTCTGCAATGCTCTGCCTTTAAGCATTAGGTCGGCCTCTTCACTGTCTGTTTTAAATCTTTTTTGAAAACTTATTTTTATGATTTGGCTTTTAACTCAGCATGAGTCTTTTTAGGGTGTCGCTTTTAAGCTTTAGTTTTTATGCAGTTTTATGTTGTGTTTAGTTTTTAATGTTTTTAAATGCTGTGAAGCACTTTGGTCGGTTTTACACTGATGTAAGGTGCTCTACAAATAAAGCTGCCTTGCCTTGCCTAAAGATAATTTTTCATACCTGCTGACAGTTTCCACTGCACACTTCAGTCTTCCGCACACCGCCATGCAACTTTCTGCCATTGTGTCGTTTATCAGCTGGCTGGTCTGTATGCGCTGTCAAACCAGAAAGTTGGTTGATGGTTAGCGGCCGACCGATACATCGGTATATTAAATTTTTTCTATATTGGCCGAAATAATTTTTTAAAAGCTGATTAAAAAATAGTAATAAATCAGGCACCAGTGTGGCCAACTGCCACCACTTCTAGACTAACGAAAGGACCCGAAGGACCGCTACACACCATTTTTTAATGTATTGAGTTTGTTTTATATTTGAAGATCAATACATATTAATAGATGTATCGACTTATTTAATTTATATTGCACACAGTGAGTGTTCAGTTGTCTTTCACAATTAATGTGCTGCTAAAACCTATATATTGGCCTTAATAATCAGCTTTAGATATCGTCCATCAGCAACAACAGTCTTTAAAAATCTGTATCAGCCTAAAACCTTATTGGTCGGCCTCTAACTGAAGTGTTCAGTCAAAACTGTCAGCGGGTATGAAAAAACATCTGTAACAAAACAATAAGTACAAAAATACATTAAGACTGCTGGGAAACCCAGTAAAACTGCTGGATTTGCTGGTTGTGCAAAACTATTTTCAAAATTTTTGGTAATGACAAAGACAAGAGACTTAAATCAATACAAAACATAACAAATTTCCTTCTATTTGATCCTGAGCTGTAGCTTTAATGCAAATAAATTGCTCTCAATCACAGCTGTGCAGGTGGTAATGCTGTATATTCAATTATAATTCAAACAACGAATCCCAGTTACTGTTCAGCAACAATCTACTACAATCATTTGTTACTGCTGCATGCTAATTTTAATATTGCATTCAGCTGTTATTGAGGATGAAAGTCATGTTTTGCTAAACTACTCTACTCAGGCAGTACTACTTAACTTTTTTTTTTTTTTTTTTTTTTTTACAAATTAACTTGCACTCAATGAAAGTTTAATGTTAATGAAGTATAATGATGACATGGACTTGGTTGGGTTAACGAACAAAAAAATAAGACTACAGGTGAAACTTTGTTTTAAGCTCACATCAAGGCCCTGGAGTCGTGGTGTGGTCAGAGAAAGTTAGAAATTAATGTAGCAAAGACAAAGGAGCTCATTTTGTCTCAGAAACAACATTTTATAGTGGAACCAGTTTGACTTACTAACCAACCTGTTAACTGTGGCCCATTTCAAATATGTCTCATTCTTAGACTGTTGGCTTGGTTTTGCTGAAACACTGATGACATCTTTAAGGAAGACGTTTGTCTTTGAGAAAGCTCAGAAGTCTAGGTGCCAGTCCGCAGAGCCTAGAGCTCGTTTATACAGCAACTGTTGAGAGTATTTAGACTTGACATCTCCTGGCCTGGTTTGGCCATGCGAGCGGCAGACCTAAGGCCAACTTTTAAAGAATTGTCTCAGGAGCTGATAAAATAGTTGGCAGACCACAAAAACGATCTCCCAATTGGTTGCTGAAAGGATGAGGAACACTGCAAGGAACATTGTAGCAGACAGCAGTCTGCACCCCTGCCTCTGGCAACCACAAATATATACGAAGTTTTATTATTCAAGTCTTGTTTTATTGTTGCTTTATTGCTTTACTGATGTTTTTATTGTACATTTTATTATTGTTTTTGTTGTTTTAATGGGGTATTTATGAACCATAGTTCAGCACTTTGATCAATCTTTGTTTTCAGATGTGCTATACAAATAAAGCTGATTTGTTCCTAGTGCTGTAATGACTCTTAACCACCGAAAAAGATAAGAACCAAAAAAGATAAGAACCAAACTGTGTCACAAATGGGTGTATATGTATATATATATATATATATATATATATATATATATATATATATATATATATATATATATATATATATATATGCATGAATGTCTTGTCATGGAGAGCCGAAGGAAAAATTCCACTACGGTGGACAAAGTTTTATTATATTCTATGATCTAATTCACAGAGAAAAATACAAGATATACAAATATATTTTAAACAGGCAAAAGCGTTAAAGTCATAGTGATGCCTGACTCATAGCTGAACTTTGATTCATTGTGATTCACTTTGCATGGATGAACTGATGAGCAAGAGTAATAGAGATCAGCGCCGCCATGGAGAAAGGCAGTCAGAGCGGGAGACGATCTCAGATTTTATAACCTAAAACAAAATCTTAATGTCTACAGGTAAAAATCCCCAGAGAAGCCGAGCACCGACCAAAACACGGCCTATCTTCTACAACGTCGCCATTATTTGAGCTCAAACAAGATCCGCGAGCACCGAAACCCACCACCTACCTGGTTGAGCTCTTGCTCCGCCGCTATCCTCAGGTTGGGATCGATGGTCCCCTTCAGGGCCTGGATTATCCGGTTCGGGTCCATCTGTGTTCCTTAACGGTCTCACTCACGCATACGTGCAACGTTAGCTAACGTTTCTGCACTACTTTGCCCCGGCCGAATGAGAAGGCTCTACATTCAGAGGCTAAAGCACCAAAACACTTTCGGGAGCTACAAATATAACGTCATACCCAAACATTTAAAGCAAACATGGTTCTAAATGCGCCTCATTAACGGGTATAAACACAGTCTGTGGTTATTAATGGCGATGTAACAATGAAGTGTTGTCTTTCCTTCTTCCTTTACTGTTGGCTAATTAGCTAGAAGTGGCACCGCTGCCCCCTGCTGGACAGCAAGTAAAAGGACGTGGTTGTGTCCCTTTGCATACAGTACAACAGGTGTGAATAGATCAAAAGCATTTTATTTGATTTCAAAAATACAAGCTACTCGTTTTTATAGTCTGAGAGCGAGAACATGAATGTAAATTTAAGGTGTGGTCTCTTAAATTATTTTTGTAGATTACTTTCTTGATTGGTTGTTGGAGGGAATAAAATGTGACTTTGTTTTATACTGGCACTACGAAACATTGCTTGCAGTAATTAATGAAAAGCAGAGGAAGAATGAGACAGGTCTGTTATGATTGCTTTCTTGATCAACCAGATAAATTCCTATTAAGGCAGGTTGTGTTGCCCTGGTTGACAGTCATTTGTGTTTTGGGGCAACAATGACTCAGAGGTTAGAAGTTCATTCTAATCAGTGGGTTGAGAGAACTTATAAGCTCTCATCAGGTTATTGTGCCTTTGGGCACATCACTCCTTGTCTGCTGGTTGAGACCCAGTGGCATTTGTACAGCAGCTTTACCTCAGTGTCCTAGAGCAGCAGTGGCTGTGAATGGATGAATGACTAAACACTTATGTCCATGCAGGTCATTTATCACTTAAGAGGAGCGGGTTTCACCATAAGATTTTAAGGTGGACTGATTTTAAAAAGCTCCTCTAGCAGACCTGAAAAGCCCTCCAGTTCCATATTAAGATTCTAAGACCAATCTAGGTTTCATTCGGAGGAAGTTGTGTTAAATGATGTAAATCACTCTTGAAAGAAGCGTGTTCAATGTTAAGAGTTCCTTTCCAAAGTTCAGGATTTGCTCATTTGGAAGTCATAAGTGCTTGTGGTTAAACTAAACATTTGAAGTATTAAATTAAAATGTATAGTTTCTTAAAGTCAGGTAAACAACTGCAAATTAAAATACACAGTTCAGGTTTAAAACCAGAACCTTTTCACTGAGAAGTGTCTAAAGCCAGTCAACAACCCCAGTGAGAATGCAAACAAACTGCTTTAAACCCTGCAAATCCCAGTTAGACGTGACAGACCTCCTCAGATGAGAAGTGAAACATCAAGGTACAAATCAATACATCATCTAGGGAACCATGACCAGCATACAGTCATATTTAGAGGGGAAGAAGTCTTCAGAACACCAACTTACCAGTGGTGGACAGCTTCAGCTTGTCTGACAGAACTGGTTGTCTTAACATAATCTAGTTATGTTACAGTCCTCAAGGGACACCGTCCTACGTTAGAGGTCTGCCCGATTGTAGAAACCTGCTGGAGATTATTCATCCAATGGCATACCATACCATACCATACCAATTTATTTATAAAGCGCATTCAACATGGCATTACAACCAGACAAGGCGCTGTACATTAAAAGATTACAGTTAATTAACACGTACAGAATGACATTTAAAGCATAGTTTATAAGAAAAAAAATGAAAACAAGAAAATACTAGAACTAACAGTCGTAAAACACTAAAAACACAAAAGGAATATGAAACAACAGATAAAAACATGAAAGAACCACAGTAATACAGATGTTAATTATAGTTCATTCTATTGTAGAAAGAATGCAGATGTCGAAAGTGGTCCATGAAAAAGGCATGTTGGAGATGGGACAAACACAGCTGCAGTCAGATCTGGAAGGGGTCAAATCTAAACTCCACCACAATTCATTGCAAAGGTCATGTTATCACAAACACTTAAAAACGCTGAAAACACCACACAAGGACTATATGAGTGACTGGAAGCCTCTAGTGCCAACCCATTGGTACTGCAGCAACACCCACCATTTGCTGAAACGAGTTAGCCATTTACCAGCAGACAGCATCTCCATTTGTTGTCCAGTTGTGCTGAGGAGCAACAGCTGCAGAGATCCACAGTGTCATAACCGATTTCAAATGGTGCTAGAAGGCAGCAGAAGGCTCTAAGCACCAGGAGAAACCAGTTATCTTTTAGTGGAGACAAGGGCAGAACAATCCAGTCTTCACGTCTTCCCTCACTGGAGTTGGCTTTCTGTCACCAAGAGCACTGATTTCAAATGGTGCTAGACAACAGGAACACATCTAAACCACCATGTGAAACCAGCTTCTTGGTGAAGATGTTCCGCAGCTGTGAGCAAAACGAGATGAAAACTTAGGGTTTCAGCAGACTAGTAAACAAATATTAGTTTACATTACAGTTAAGAGCAGCAAAGGATTACTTATTTGGAACATTAGCTGAACATCTCTATGAGGAGTTGTTTAAAGTTAAATGAAAATAAAAGATGATTCTAAAACACACAGACTTTAGACAAGGAACAATTTCATTTTACCTCCTTATTTTCATTTAAGGCTCATTTGTAACTCCAACAACAAAATGGTTTGACCTTCCAGAGCTGCAGCACCATCTGATCTGCCTGTTTAAATCACATCTGGGTGAACAAGGCCAAGCTGCTCATAGTAAAATGAAAACAGCTGAGCCACCTGACACAGGTGTGCTTCAGAGCCGGGAGTTCAGCTGGGGTTTATGTAAGAAAAAAAACTTGTTTCAGATCCACATTCAATCAGAACTAATAATCACTAATCACTAAACAGAATATTAGAACACTTATAATTAAACAGGTTTCTGTTTTTTTTTTAAATAAAAAACCAACAGTAGTGAAATTCACAGATTTTTGTCATGTTTTCTTTAGAGGAATCATCACTGGTGAAGTTGTTACAAATGACACACACGTGATGTGTAGATGATGCTGACATCAACATATTTAAAATGGTTTGAATGTGTTCCACAACTAAAAGCTGGTTGTTCACGGGACTACATCCCAAGGTGAACACTATGGAAATACCCTTGTTAGAGAAGGTTCTTTTGAAAAGTTAATAAGAAATGTCAATTTGGCCTACTTACTGGTATTTTGTATGATGATGAGAGGAACACCAAGTTATTTCCAGACTAGATTAGGATTAAGAGCCAGTCAGGATTCAGCAGGCACTGAAGGATCAGTCGTTTTTAAACATGATTAAGATGGAACTTCATTCAGATCCAGGTTCAGAGAAACTTGGGACATGTTATCACAACTCGTCTGATCACTATTCATAACATGGTGGAGTTTATGCAAATTGCAAAGTGGGAAAAATATTGAGTCATTAAAACCTCTGTACATCTGTGTGTGTATGTTGGTAAATGAGGAGGAGATGATGGTGACAGTGCCTCTTCTTAAGAAGAAAACTAAACATTAATGCTGTTGTCATGGCAGCAGTGTCACGGCCAGTTGGCACCTCCGGCAGTGGGCATATATCCAAACAGAACCAGGCTGACAGCTCTTGACAGTGATTTACTTGTTTTCAGTTACTGGCAACATCACAAACCCTGGCTAACAGCCAGAAGTCACTCAGTTCAGGCTCATAAATCGACAGTGTATTGATCCTTGAAATGATTTGATCCCTCCATGTGGATCGCAAGTGCTGTCGAGGGGGAAACTATCAGGATTTGGTATTTTGCCCATGGGCACTTCAATAAGATGCATGGGGTCGAACCGCTCACTTTGTGATCAGTGGAAACCCTCTAATCCCTGTTGAGCCACTGCTGCTCCACGTGTGTACCTGCATTAGTGTTTGTGAGAAAACCATAAACACTCCCCAATGCCTATAATCACTGTAGAGCATGTGTGGCAGCATGCCATGACACACAACACGCATGCACGTGTTTGCAATGCTGGCTAACCCTTAGAATGTCAGCTGAACTGGAATCAACTCAACTAAAGGTACAAGGTAATCTGTTCTCTCTGAACTAGATCCCTCTTTGTCCCATAGAAACATTTTGGAATCAATAAATTTGGATTGAATTGGGATGAAGGTAGATTAAAACTGAACACTATAATTACAGTCATCATGCCCTTCACCAAGAACTGCTTGAAAACTGGGGTGTTGTTCCTGAGTGATGGAGGAATAAAGCATCTCCTGGGTACCTCCCTCTGGTGCTTTTCCAGATGCTGGGAAAAGACCTGACCAGGCCCAAAACTCACTGGAGGTATTCCAGATCCTCTATGAACACAGTGGTATCCCACAAGAGATGGAGGGAGCCTCTGGGGAGAGGGAGGCCTGAGTTTACCTTCTAGACCTGATTCCTCAAGGACCAGTCCTTTTCTAAGTGGTAGAAAATGCATATCCACTAATATTACCTAAATTAGTACAATCCATGTTTTCTCATACCCATGTTGTAGTTTATACAAACAATCCAACAAACAGCTGGTTATGTGTGTGTGTGTGTGTGTGTGTGTGTGTGTGTGTGTGTGTGTGTGTGTGTGTGTGTGTGTGTGGTGTCTCATGTCACAGCACTAAGACTTCTACACATTTCTCTGTGAACTGGTGCCCAGCTCTTATATAATCAACTGTCGTCATGACAACAAAGCCACAAGGCCCTGAGATGCATGCTTCACACTGTCTTGAGCCATTTGAAAGGAGACTGCCGGGTGATCTGGATTATAGACATGATCACATTCTGCTCATTCAGGTAAAAAAAAAGAAGCTCTGATGTGAAGCTAGAAGAAAAAAAATAAGAGTATGAAGGAATGTGGGAGTGTCAGCTCTGGATCTACAGATCACATGATCTCACTTCACAAAATAGGTTCTTAAACCCACGATATTTTAATCATGATGTCCTCAAAACTGCAGGTTTTATCCTGTTATTCTACTTTTGGGCACAAGAGGGCAACAGTGCATCTAGATTCTAGATGCTCCTCTTCATTATGGTTACTATGGCGACGAGGCCATCCTCTCCACTCTGTTAACTGCAAGGAGATCAAACAGAAATCTTCTCTCACCACAAAACAAACCATTACATGAAAACCTCAAAGCCAACATTTAAAACTGTAGGAAACGGGCTAAAAAGTGGCAGGTAGTCCTGAATGTGTGGTAAAAGTGAAAATAAAAATTCCTTAAAGCTTGATTCTTCATCAGCAACCTGGGGTCTCATTTATCAAACATTGCGTAGAATCCTCACTAAAACCGTACTTAAGCTCAGCAAAAAAAAAAGTACTTACGCCAAGTAGGTTTGTGATCTATCAAACATGGAGTACGCACAGCTGCACGCAATCTCTGCTTCACAAATCAGAAACTATCTAGAAAGTTTCTCAGCTGCATTTTAGTCACATCCCGCCCTCACCACGTCCACTTACTGCCATAAATAGTCAATGCAAAGTGCCTTATGGATCTCATGCGTATACATAAGCCGGCTGTTGCAACGCTCCGCCAATGACGATGGCGACCGTAGATCAAGGCAGATCAAGGAAGCACAATTTCACAAGCAGAAATTGAGGTACTTGTGGGTGAGGTGGAGAAATGAAAGGAAGTGCTTTTGCAAAACAAATAAGAGAAAATCCACGGAGTGGCACAGTGTTGCTGAAGCCGTCAATGTTGTGAATTCTTCAGAGAGATCTGTGGCGGATATAAAAAAAATGGTCTAATCGGGATTTGATCCCCAGACTCCCAGGTGAAAGTCACACACTTTAACCAGTCAGCCAAACTGAGATTTCCCTTGTTAAACTAGCCAGGGCGCATGATTAATCGGGTCACAGTGACAGGACACACACTGTCACAGACGCATGACATTCTGTCTCAATCTGTCCCCCTGCTGATATTCTGCATTCTGTATTATGCGCTTCAGGCTGTGTGTGCGTGTGTGTGCATGTGGGGGGGTCTTGTTCTGTGTGAAAATGAAGCAGTACAAGTGATAATGCTGCAGGATTTCATAATTTTATCCTTCTTAGCAGCAGCACTGCAGGTGCTCTCCATGTCCAAAATGTGCGTAAGCCAGCTCCTTAGTCAACTTAAAGTTGCACACATTTTCCCGCTAAGTTTTCTTTCATAAATCCCAAAGTTTGTGTGGAAAGTTGCTTACGCAGTTTTCTGACCCTGTTTTGTGCGTAAGCAAGCTTGATAAATGAGGCCCCAGGTCCTTTTCTGGTGTGTGGCGATAAATGTAGTTCAGTCTTCATCTCCACAAAGAAGCTACGTCTGGTCTAAACATTAAAAACAGTGATGATGATGTAGTCCAAAAGCATTAAAGGGGTCCTAAATGAGCAAAAAGACAGTGAAAGTGCACCACACACACACACACACACACACACACACACACACACACACACACACACACACACACACACACACACACACACACACACACACACACACACACACAAACACACACACACAGTGGAGGTGAGACTTGTTGCCACCGCCTTTTTCTCCAGCTTCTGGTTCTATTTCCTCTCAGGAAGTGACACAGAGATGAAGCGTTCACACAGGACTTCCTGTTCCTGCTGTACTGATGCCTGATGTCATTATCCGAGTCATCTCCGGTGAATCCGTCCATGCTGATCCTGGGCCTGCAAGGACAGAGGTTGTAATGGTGTTAAATGATGTTTACTGCAAGTTTTTGTTTTCCTGTATCTGATTCCGCTGATACCACCATCAGCATCAGCCTGAAGACGCCGGCAGCCGTCGGCGAAACTGTAGCGTCAATAACAGGTAACAAAACCGTTTCTGTGTTTTAAAAAAGAACGACAACATGGAATTAGAAATAACGCACAGCAAGAACACACCTAAGATGTAATTTAAAGGTTCCATATTGTGCTATTTTAAACCTCTGAGAGCAAAGGTAGGCACAGTATGATAAAATATTACCGTTGGCACTATTGAGATGTTACATATCTTACATATGAATTAGTTTTGTCAGTCGGAATTTATACCCGGAAATAAAATGGTTAGTTTCACTGATACTCCGCCCATGCCCGCTCCAACATAATGTGCCTACAACAGCATCTTGAGCAAGTCAGTTGCTGTATTAGCTATGCTAGTCCGGTGATGGCGCTCTAACCACTGGACTACCTGGTCTGTTACAGAAGCCACATATCCTGTGCTGGTCATGGGGGACAGGTTTTAGACCAGAGACTAGCTTACGGGAGAGGAGCAAGGCCTGATAATGAAATTAGATTTTATGGCTTTACAGGGTTTTCAAAGTCAAACTCAAACCTTGCAGCTGAGACAGGGTTTGCCAAAAATGGGTTAGGGTTTTTTTTCATGAGGGAATAATAATATCATATGGTAAAAAGCTCTAAAAGGTGGATTTTCTATGATATGATCTTATCAATAAAAAAATTAATAAAACAGAATTTCCTAGACATTTTGCAAATAAATGTGGTGATATAGTGGACAATAAACAAGATGTCGCTGAAGAATTTAACAATTATTTTGCTGATGTCGGTAAAAGTCTGGCCAAACAAATTCCAAAGTGTGATAAAAAATTAAATATGCTTGATCACCTTATTAAGGATAATAAAGATTCATTCTTTTTGGGAGGGATCAACGACAGCGATATAATAGAAACTGTTAGAAAACTTAAAAATAAGAAATCCACTGATATTAATTTTATTGATACATTCATAATTAAAGAGGTCACTGATTTTATTGTAAAACCTCTGACTTTTATTTGTAATCTATCCTTTCAAAAAGGTGTTTTTCCAAACAGCAAGAAAATAGCTAAAATAAAACCAATTTTTAAAAATGGAGACACACATTGTGTTGATAATTATAGGCCAGTGTCCCTACTTCCTCAGTTCTCAAAAATACGGTATTAGAGAAATTATTTGCAAAACAGCTGGATCTTTTCATTGAAAAATATGGGTTACTTAGTGAGCACCAATACGGGATTAGAGCCAAAAAATAACTACATATGCAATTATGGAAATGAAAGAAAAAATAACAGAGGCCAGGGAAAATGATGAGTATTTTGTTGGGATTTTTATTGATTTGCAAAAAGCCTTTGATACTATTGATCACAGTATATTATTAAAAAAATGGAAAAGTATGGAGAGGAGTGGCTTATTCATTGTTGAGGAGTTATTTGGACAATAGGAAGCAATATGTAGAAATCAATTAAAAAAACTCAAAATTTTGAAAATTTAGGAAAGTTACTTGTGGTGTTCCCCAGGGATCTGTTCTTGGACAAAAACTTTTTTTTACTTTACATTAATGATATTTGTAAGGTCACTAATTTATTGAAATTTGTAATTTTTGCAGATGATACAAATTTATGTGGTTCAGGTAATAATTTACAGAAACTTTTGCCCTTTATAGAAAAATAATTGGGAATCCCTAAGACTTGGTTTGATATTAATAAACTATCCCTCAATTTAAAAAAGACAAACTTACAAATATGGAATGTTGAAATTGAAAGGGTGACAGAAATTACATTTTTGGTGGTGGTTATTGATCATGAAATGAAATGGAGACAGCATGTTTATTACATTAAAGGAAAACTTTCTAAGATTATAGCAATACTGTACAAATCAAGACATATGTTGTATTATGCAGCTCTATGTATCATTTATTGTTCACTCATACTACCTTACATTTGATACTGTGTGGGAGTCTGGGGACTGACAAATGCACATATGTCAGACTCAAGGCCCGCGGGCCGCATCTGGCCCGCGGAGCATTTTTATGTGGCCCGCGAGATAAATATCAAAAATATATTAAAACATGCCCGCTGGCCGATTTTATCGCAAAGACTTCAACTCCCATGATGCTTTGCGGCGTCAGCGCTGAGCCGACACGCCCCCTCCTTTGTGTTTTTTCCAGCGCCTGCTGTCTGTGTCTGCAGCTCCGCTGTCTCGGACAAACTACACTCCTCTCACTCAGCGCCGAGTTCACTCAGCTATTTTCTGACGTTGAAGCCCAGAAACGGAGATTCTAGCCGCTCAGTAATGTGTTCACGACTGAAAGAGAAAGTTTTCCAACTAACGTCCAGACAGAGCTGATATAACTCCAGCGAACAGCGACACGCTCAAACCAGCACGACTCTGTGGCTGCTGTCGTTGTGTTTCCTCCCGACACACAACAACGTGGTCAAGCTGCTCAGACATGTTCAGCATCACAAACCTTTGTGAGCACCTGTTGTCATCTAATGTTGTAATTATTTTGATGAAGATGAACAAAACAACAGGAGTCTCCTTCTCAGCTCAGATCAACCCCATGATGCAGGTATCTGGCTGGAACAGGTGAGCATCACAGTAAACCAGTGGAGCAAACTGAGCTTTAAATATGTTGGTTTTATGCTCTTTTTCTGCTCCAAAACATGAAAGTTAACAGGTGAGATGTTGCATTTTCATTTGTTGTTGGCCTGTGAGAAAAAATTTAAAGATTTTAAAGATTTTAAAAATGCTAATTATACCACAAGTAATGAATACCACTGATGCCTTTATTTGTAACTGACTTGCTCATGTGTAATTTGGTTATTCCACATTCAGTGTTAATGCAGAAATAAGTTTGTTTCCAAATTTAAAGGTTCAAAATTGCATATATGTTGATAAAGAAAATGTGCAAATGTGCCGTCACTTTTTAAAAAAATATTAAGTTTGGCCCTCGACTCCGTCCCAGAGTTTCCTTTCGGCCCCGTGTGAGTTTGAGTTTGACACCCCTGGACTAATGTAATGTTGGTTAGTGCAATAGTTCTCTAATAAAAATGTGCAATACATAGTATTAATAAGGCAGATTATTTGGCACATACACATCCATTGTTCATTCATTCAAGAACATTGCACCTGCAAGAGCAAAACCCACAAACTAAACCAAGTGCACAAATACAATCTACCAAACAAATTATTTAGAACAAGTCCAAGTTTAGAAAAAGCCTCAGATCCTGAATTTCCAGAAAACCAATGACCCCAACACATTTTCCCTGAACCTATT